CATAAGAAGGAGGGAAGCCTGGCGTTAGCCGGGCGGCCCGACTGGTTGTACAATAATGGACGTAGCCATTTGGAAAACAGCATGGATATGGCGATATAATCACAAATCGACTTATCATCAACCGTTAAGCGGATATTCTCATTATCACTGCTAGCTAGGAATTAGCGGCAGATGTACAAATTCCTCAAGAACTTCACTCGCTTGATCGCATTTGCACTGCGCAATCAACTTCTGCAAATGCACTTGTTTATAGATTATTCCGGACAATTTGTATCAATCAGGATGCAGGCAATTTCCTACACAGCAATTATAGCTGGCCACGACGATGGGGCTAAGCTGATATTTACGCAAAGTGAAGGTAGTTCTATCAACTGTTACAGTTCCACCAAAAAAGTTGGGGAGGCAATCACTTTGGAGAAGGTCATGAAGGCAATCTAAATGGGTGCAGTGTCCGAAGAAGATACCAAGGTTGAGCGACCGGAGAGAGAAGTTGTGTCCGGAATCCTCTCCACGTGCTGAACCTGACCGAAATATTCGGTTCTGTGGTAGCACTAATGTTGCATATAATCCAAAAAAAACATATGAAGCAAAGAGAGATTTTCCGATGCAGGGATTCGGTGGGTATAGGCGTACTTCACCATTCCAAAAGGCCTGCATCACACATTTCCAGGTTTTTCGCACCCCTGGGCGTTGGTCGAAATTGAAAACATTGAAACATTGAAAGGGCGCCAACATCGAAAATGCCAAAACTTCATTTCAGAATAGTTGACAAGTCTTAATACTAATAATTGTAGTCCATTGACATCGTTCGCGTTCTACTATTGTATTCTGCCAGTCTGTGATCATCCCATTCGTATAAAACAATAATAAAGGCAAATGCTTCTGAGGACACTTGCACCCAAACACGTTTTATTATCAATATACCGAAAAATGATATACCAAAATAAAGGTTCTTCATAAAACTTTGTAGAAATAGTGTACATGAAAATACAGAGACTCTCATCTCACAGCCAGTAAAGTTAGAAAATCTAGAACATTCTTATCCCCGTGACTCAACTCTCACATTTCAGAGGAAAGACTACACCTCTAACTAAAATTTTCGAAAAACATCCATCACACAGTCCTCTGATCTAAACAGACTATCATTCACTTTATTCTTAACAAAAACAGTATTTTCAGCTCCGATTCAGAGGATGGCGTGACATTGTAACAAGTTCTCCAATAGTAAACCGAAAACTACCATTCCAAGCACTAACCTTCAACGTAAAGAGCAACTATACAAAGAGAATAGAACTAAAACGAGTACCAAAGAGCAACGGAGACTGTTACACGAGGATTTACCAAATAACAAAAAATAAAACAAAACACCTGGAATTGACACTGAGTTTCAGAACAAAGGTAATGAAAGATTGAAGTAAAGACTTATAAAGAAACCATCACATTCAGGCACGATGTGTACTATTCGATAAACTCAGTTAAAAACTCCTTGATAGTATCCGTGTCCCACTTCTCTATATTATATGTTTGTATTCGTTTACCCGAATGGTCCTGTAAAAGAACTATACGAATAAGTCGGCTACTTAACACACTGCGGTATTATTTTGTACAAAAAGATCTTTATTCTTGGAATCTTAAAATGGGTTGAAGGGACGCGTCATTGTAATGAAACTGCCAGACGGTAAAAAACGTACTTTCAAAACGATCTGAGGGGTAATCCCTCGCACCTGACGAACTCGTACACTATCACCCCATGGTGCGGCCATATTTTCTTGAACGAATGCTGAAATATTGCGCTCATTCCCTTTCTCAACAACAAAAGTATTCTAAATAACATCTGCACACAGAAAATCTATGAATGGAACAAGCTCAAAAACAGTTGTAAATCAGCTAAGGCTGACTGAAGAAAAGACTTTCCGATCCCAAACAATGCATAATCAGTGCATATGAAACCCAAGAGGAACCAAAGCTATTCGATTCCTAAGCAAAGAAAATTCTGTTGATTTGGACGATGCCGATTCGATCTTTTTATCTGATGTGTTATAACGGCGGCTTTTGGCGCCATTTTTCTTCGTATCACGTTCACTGTGAAAGCACACCATCAAAAAACTATTCATACTTGTTTGGCCTTCAACGCTTCTAGACAATTCATCAATAACGATTTTGTAAAACTTCAAATCAAAAGCCCGTCGTTCAGATAGTGGCATAAAATTAGCAAAATTGGAAATGAGACAATAAAATTAGCAAAGAGAAAAAAAACATATTTAAGGGAACACTTACCTTGAGCTTGTGGAAATCGGGCAAGGTTGCAATCACAGACTTCTATGTCAGCGTAGGGGTATGTCTGAATCATTTTATCAAATGATAAGTTCGTTGAATACCATTCAACTCTTAATGGAGATGAAAAACTCAATTTCAGAAAGGAGATAACATGTGTCATCGTATAGGGTACAGTTTTGGATGTAACGTCTTCCTTTACCCTGAACTAGTACAAAGATTTCCTTGAATTTGCTCTGAACGATCATAAATCCCAGAATCTATTGAAGGTACCAGCACAAGGAGCACAACTAACTACAATCGCCAATAGGATATCCGCGAACTTTGTTCACCATAAGGTTGATAGTATAGTGTTTACAATAACATGGTGGGGCACGCCTTGGAGAGGGAATAAGGACGATGATTTACTTGAGTAGTGCGCAGCTATTAAAAACTCATGCCACTTCAAAATATTATAATCTTGGAGCAGCCAGGGCACTGTATCCTAAACATATATATACCATATATACCAAAGCTAATGAACCATATATATACCAAAGCTAAAGAACAAAAATAAATACAAATAAGTTGACACTAACCGGATGATCTTCCTCATCCTTGGTGCAACACGC